AAGCAGAAAAACAAGGAGTTATCGTAGATCAGCACCTGTTTTACTGGGTGTTCTCGACAAAAAAAAGTCATTATTATTATTATTACTGAAAACCGGTACCAGACTCTGTTCACTCTTTGCTTTTGTTTTGCTTTTTTTTGTTTTTTGTTTTTTTGTTTTTCAACGCGCGAAAAAGTAAGAGCCTATGGGCAGAGATTTATGGGGAAATAGAGTTTTCACGCATCAAGTTCGGTTTGCAGCATGAAATAATGTTTTTCGAAAAGAAATATAGGTTTATTTAAAGACTTGTTTGACGCCTATAGAACTGTGAGCCGTACTCCGGATCACACTTCATAGTGAGAGGAGGGGAGTTGTGACACCGTGATTGACAGCTGTGATGTTCGTATTATAATTCAATCTTATAAATTAGAAGGTCACTCTCTAGTSGACGTTCAAATTGTCCTAAGCCTCCWACGAAGGACATTGTTATCGAGTACTTKGAAGTTTGCCGTACGCGTCCTTTCAACACTACATGATGAAGACGTTCACTATAGCAGCTATAGCTTTGATACTTAGTGGGCTGTTTATGGGGTCAMTGGCTAGTTACAAGCCTTGTTTCAGTAAACGAAATAYAAGGTCAATCCCCTCTGGTCACCTTATGGCCACGAAAACCAAGCCATTAGTTCTTGGACATCGAGGTAATCCGCTCAAATACCAAGAGAACACATTAGATGGCTTCAAAAGTCTTCTTCAGACCAATGCAGACGGATTTGAGCTGGATATTTATCTCACCAAAGACAACAAACTTGTTGTTTTCCATGATGATAATACTAAGGTTTGTAGGACGACTGTTGAGGTATTTCATATTATGTAATGTAGCACGCACGGTTTTGTTCTGTAACACGGCAAACTTTCATCGAGAACACTCACGGGAGCAAATACTAGTAAATGATTTGTGAGCCCTTTTCAATAGAGTTCTGTAGGTCAGCAGTSTTTACTGTGATTTGTATTCTCGCAATGTTGTCGCATATCGACGTTATATCGTGCATAAAGTAAAATCCTTTAAGAATTATGCACGAATACATGCAAATAGAAGATGCAAAGTATATTTGTTTTGCCCCCATCGTGTTTATGTCAGTCTGTCTAAAATGTTTGCTTTGTGCTTTGTCTACCTAATCAGAACACCTTGCTGTCTTCCTAAAACATGCATGATGTGCCTTAGAAATATGTTTCCTAATAGAAACACATTATACCCAGACGTTATTTCTCAGCAGATACCAAACTTGCGTTAAGGGTTAGTGATCGTCGTCTAACGTTTATGCAAATTATGTTATTCAGAACTTGACCGGAATTGACAAAGTGATGTGGGATAGTACCGCAGAGGAGCTAACCAAGATTAACGTCAATAAAACACTCAAMTTTGGTAAGCATGTTTAAGGTATAACTGATTGTGTGCGTGACCAAAGTTATTCAAGTACGATTTAAACAATCACTGTCAGTAATTTGGTTGGATTTATGTTAGACAATAAAGAGTTCAATTATGACAAGCCACGCCCTATCCCTATGCTTGAAGACGTGCTGAAAGCCATGAAGGATAGCGGAAAGCTGATGTACCTCGAGGTAAGACCACACCCACTCTAGAGAGATATACTATACGTAGCCGGTTACGATCCCAGGCAGATTTCTAACCAATCGTGCTTCAGACTAATCAAAATATGCACTTTCGAGTCATACAAGTGTATTTCGAGCTAGTTCTCATGCTACAGTTCGACTAATTGAAATATAGCGTACTTTCGAGTCATACAAGTGTATTTCGAGCTAGTTCTCATGCTACAGTTCGACTAATTGAAATATAGCGTACTTTCGAGTCATACAAGTGTATTTCGAGCTAGTTCTCATGCTACAGTTCGACTAATTGAAATATAGCGTACTTTCGAGTCATACAAGTGTATTTCGAGCTAGTTCTCATGCTACAGTTCGACTAATTGAAATATAGCGTACTTTCGAGTCATACAAGTGTATTTCGAGCTAGTTCTCATGCTACAGTTCGACTAATTGAAATATAGCGTACTTTCGAGTCATACAAGTGTATTTCGAGCTAGTTCTCATGCTACAGTTCGACTAATTGAAATATAGCGTACTTTCGAG